CCCCAAAACCCCAAAACCCCAAAACCCCTAAATATAGAGAATGAATTGAAAATAAGGTTATATTCATTATTTTGATAATTGTTATAAAAATAAGTATGGAACTACCAAAGTGACAGAATGCAAATTGACTTTCACAAGCCCATTCCTACTTGCCCACATCCAAACTTTACCTCTGTTCTACTCACAAAGCGACTACAGTCTCTGACCAAGAAATTATCGTCCTAGTAAACCCTACTTCGGTAATACAGCTAGTAAGATCTGTTGAGCTGTATGTTGGTGGATTAGCATGATCTGTAGGGAAGGGAGGGGATTTAAGTGTGGAGGAGGATGAAGAATGGGTAGAGATAGGAGAGAAGATGAAGGAAGTGAGATGAAGAGTTGAGGATTTCTTGAAGAGGAAAGAGTATTTTAGGGTTGGTGAGCTTTTGAAAGAAGGCTTTGAGGTTAAAGGTATGAAGAAAGGTTGATTTTGATGTAGAGATGGCAGAGAGTAAGTGGAAAATTATGATTGAGAGTGGGAGTCAAGATAGATGTAAGGAAGTGAAGGCTGGAATGGGGCAAAATTGTGTTAGTTGTGATATGGATGTAAAGTATCTTGGAGAAGATACGAAAATGATCGAAGAAAACTCAGGCCAGAATGCTCCTCTCCTTCAAGGTTAGAGATTTAGTTTTTGATTTTGATTTAGAAAATAAAAAGAAATTTTCAAATTGTAAAAAGAAGCATGAAGAATCAAAAAGAGATATACAAAGCACAAAGTCTTTGAAAAAATCAACTGATCTTATAGAACAAAATGAGAACTTTAAATATTTTAGAAAAGTTCAAGACTTTATGATGATTGTGATGATCATACTTCTATGATGTTCTGCATTCAAAATCCATGGTAAGAAACTCAAAATTGTCATTAGCATTAAGAATTCATAATTTACGAAGCATATCTTTTTAATTTTTTTAACTTAAATAATTTTCTACTCAAATGTCACTCAACTACTATAAGCAACATAAATCTATATCCTCCTCTTACCAAACTCTCTCTAATTAAATCCCCAAAAATCCACTTTCGTTAACCCAAACCCCCTTAAAACGTCTTCTCAAAAAATCTTCATCAAAATCGCCTAATTTAACCTTTACCCACAGATATTTCCACCTCCTCCTTTACCCAAGAAACCCACCTCCAACTTAACTCAATCATCAAAGACATCCAAATAATCAGCCTTAAAGCAGACCTCATCGACCTAAAACTACACTATCTTAAAGAAACTGGCGAATCTAATACTAATCTTCTAAAACAGAAAGAAGCACTGGCTGCTGAAATAGAGATAGTTGATGGCAGCATCAGAGAGTTAGAAGAAGAGAGCTATAGAGATGGAAGAGATTTTAGGAAGGTGAAAGAAGAACTGAAGAGGGTGAAGGAGCAGATGGTTATGGAAGTGGAGGTTTATACGAAAGAAGAGTTTAATAAGCTATCGAAGGAGGTTATAGGAGAGGCTGTGTGGAGTGAGGGTGAGGTTGTTTTGGAGCTAAGGGATTCTAAGCATTTGGAGTTTTTGAGGAGTATAAATAAGAGAATACCTAATCTTAATGAACTGCATATTGATTACATTCCTTCTAACAATGAAGACATAAAGATATTTCTAAAATATTATTTTCCAGAAGAGGTGAAAGAGTTTTACCTGAATTCTGGATCTGAATTGAGCTCAAGACTTGATTATTACATTAGTGAGATTTTACTTATTTGTCCTAAAGTAAAGACATATATGCTTCTTTATCATTTTGAAGTGAGTCAGCAAAACTTACTAACTCTTCTTCCTCATAGCAAACATATGAACAGATTTGGGTTTGCTTATTGAAATTTAGAGATATCTTCAGTACCTGACTTTGGATCTACACTTGATGGGAACAAAATAAAAACGTTATATTTATATTACTCACGCCAGGATTTCTTCATTGCTAATAATAACAAACCTTCTGGATTTGAGAATTTGATGGAAGGTTTATCCAACTCAGAAGACTTCAAGAAGAACCTTGGACGAATTTGGGTGACTGACTCTGGAGTCTCTGAAAACCTACTTAAAGATTTAGTCCACAAACATGGATTCAAAACAACAGAAATATGGGTTTAGATCAGGATAATATTATTCTTCTTAAGAACTAAATTCAATTTAGTTTTTAGATATTGGGGTTTTGGGGTTTTGGGGTTTTGGGGTTTTGGGGTTTTGGGG